TGACCCTGTAAGAGTTTCTGAGGCTATAAATCTTCATGGGCGCAGAAAGCCTCATCTTTCTCCGGTGGAACAGCTGGTAGTTTCGAACTGCTGACCTTGAGGTTCACAGCCCAATTTGAAACCATTATGTTACCAGAGCTCCTTAACTGTACTTTAGAAGCCGTATGACTAAAAGGGGGTAGTAATCTTTCATTTCAGAACAGATGATCCCAATACCATCAAGAAGAAAGAACATGAGTGGAGCATGACATCTTTCCTTGAAGAGCGGCGACAGCAGAAACGTTGGCAGAGGTGACTGGCATGGAGAGACAGAGCAGTTGGGGGCTCTAGGCTCACTGACTGACTAAGGCTGTGTGCCCTCGGGCAAGAGGGTGGCTTGCAGAATACAGCCTTAGGACATTTAAATAAATATACATATATGTATTTTATATATGTACGCCAAATATTTTTGCTTTGTTCATTTGTGAAATATAAGAAAAGGAAACCACAGGGAGGAAGTAGGAAAACTGTAGTTGCAGGGAAAGGATTGTAATCATTGAGATGAAACAAAGCATATGATTTGTTGAATGTAAAGCTGATGATCTTCTCCATTAACGTTTACTCAATTCATAATAAAAAGTTAATAAATAAATAAAGTTTTTAAAAAAGAAACAAAAAAAGAACTAGTTCCTTTATCCCCTGGGTAACATGGCATGGTGGGGCTCATTCTAACTAACAGCTTGCTTACTTGCTCTCCTCGGCTGGGCTTTGCTTTTGTTCATTTGTGAAATATGAGATATAAAAGGGAAACCAGAGGAAGGAAGTAGGGTAACTGTCGTTTCAGGAAGGGGATTAAATTCAGTAAGATGAAACAAAGTATATAATTTGTTGAATGTAAAGCCCCGATGATCTTGTCCATTAACATTCACTCGATTTATAATAAGTTAATTAATTTTTTAAAAAATAAACAATAAAAGAACTAGTTCCTTTATCCCCTGGGTAACATGGCATGGTAGAGCTCATTCTAACAGCTTGCTTACTTGCTCTCCTCGGCTTTACTTAAAATGACACTCACATGCGTTTCAGCCCCCTTTTGTAGATGAAGATGTGTGCTGGCTGACACACCCCCTAGAGACGGAGAACAGTCTGCCTCCCACACTCAGCAGCTGACTCATCTCATTCACCAATTTTGGGACAAAAAGCATGACTAACGTGCTAGTGGGGTACACCCGCTCTGAAACTGAGGAGGCGGCAAGCTGTGTCCAAAGGGAAATGTTAAACGACAGAAAGCCAGAAAAAACACACACACACATGGAATCCTCTTCCCCTCAGAGCCAGAAGCAAACCCTGCACAATGATGCAGACCTCCCCCCAGCACACCTAGGACCTGCCTGTGTGCAGCAGCAGAGGAAACTGAGCCACTGCCAACGACAGACATAGCACAGGTGTGGGTTAGACTTTCACCGTGAAATCTGACTACTTCATAAGAAAGGGTGGGGTGTGTATCAGAAAAAGGAAAAGACTGACCAGATGTAAAACATACAGATACACACAGAGACCACGGCTATAGCGAGCGTCTAAAAGTAAACCAAACAAGGCACAACAGGAAGCCAGCTGATGGCACTGGCCCCCTATATTCTTTCCAGCAAATCAAGTAAGAAAAAAAAATTAACTGGGAGAATGAAATTGCAGGCACACCTAAGAGATATTGTGGGTTTGGTTCCAGACCACAGCAAATATGACAATAAAGCAAGTCACTTTTTTTTTTTTTTGGTTTCCCAGTGCATATAAAAGCTCTATATAAATACCTGTGTGCGCATGCTTAGTATTGGGAGTAACAATCCTGTAGTCTATTTGGTACGCAAAAGCATTATGAAAAAGCCTGAAGTATTATGAGAATTACCAACATGTAACTCAGAGAAATAAAGTGAGCACAGAGTGTTGGAAAACTGCTCACCTATAGACTTGCTCAATGCAGGTGGCAGACCCTTACATTTGTAAACTTGAAAAAGCAGTATCTGCAGAATGCTATAAAGTGAAGCAGAATACAATGAAGTAAGCCTATGTTAGTCATCAGTCAGTGGTTCAAGCCTACCAGCTGTTCCTCATGAGGATGAAAGATGAGACTGTCTGCTCCCTCAAGGTGTACAGTCTTGGAAACCCTACGTAGGTTGCTCTAAGTCAGAACTGACTCAATGTCACTGTTGTTGTTAAGTGCCATCGAGTCGGTTCTGACCCATAGCAACCCTCTACAGGGTTTCCGAGGGTGTAAATCTTTACAAGGAGTAGAAAGCCTCATCTTTCTCCCGCGGAGCGGCTGGTAGTTTCAAACTGCTGACCTTAAGGTTCGCAGCCCGATTCGTAACCACTATGCTACCAGAGCTCCTTGAGGTAGTTGTAAAAGGGCTCAACAAGGCCTCTGCTTCTTAGGAAGCAGGCCTCCCACAGACAAGCAGAGGGAGCAGCTCGTCCAGCTGAGGTACTGCCAGCACTGTTGCTCCATACTTGATGGAAACTAGATGAGCAAGAAGAAGACACTTGAAAGGCAAAGACCAGCAAGATACGCTCACCATGGCATGGTCAATCATTCAAAATCAGATGGGCAACATTCACCTAAGGACACAGTTGAGGTGGGATGGGAAGGTGAGCGGAATGGAACTAGGAAGTACAGGGAGAACGCAGGCTATCTCTTGTTGCATGGAGGGGATTGCAATCATTGACATGAAACAAAGAGTGTCATCTGTTGAATGTAAAACTGATGATCTTGTCTGAAAACTTTCATTCAACTCACAATTAAAAAAAAAAAAAAAAAAAAGGCAGAGCCAAGGTGAAACGTATTGGAATAGAAGTAAAAATGTGCCACTGAAAAAAAAAAAAAAAAAAAGGCAGAGCCAAGGTGAAACGTATTGGAATAGAAGTAAAAATGTGCCACTGACAACCAACTAGACACACGGCCAGACACTAAGTAGAGCAAGAAGTAAGAGAGTCCAGCAGCATAGCGGTCAAGCGTCAAGGGCTTGGGCTGAGAAGCCACTGTGTGATCCTGGGCAAGTCTTCTGTCTTCTCAGATCCAAACACTTGGCAGCTCACCAAAAGGTCAGCACTTGAAACCTACCAGCCTCTCCAGGACAGAAAAAACCTGATGATCTGCTCCAATACAGATTTCAGCCTAGGAAAACTCTGGGGCAGTATTCCTCTGTCATACCGGGTCGCTATGAGTTGGAGTCAAGTCAGTGTTGTTGTTATGTGCTGTGGAGTTGGTTCTGACTCACAGCGACCCTGTACAGGGTTTCCAAGGCTGTAAATCTTGACGGGAGTAGAAAGCCTCATCTTTCTTCTGTGGAACAGCTGGTAGTTTCAAACTGCTGACCTTGAGGTTCACAGCCTGATTCATAACCACGACGCTACCAACTCAGTGGCACCTGACAATACCAACAGCAACAGCTGTACAATGGGCAAACAGTGGTATCTACTTCAGAGAGCTACCACTCTCCAAATTAATGCGACAATGCCCTAAAACGTTACTCCCAATACTAAGCATGCACACACAGGCATTTATTGAAGGCCCATTAGTTCCAACGGCTAAAAGAAAGCAAGAAATCAATTGAGAAAGTGCCCCCCCACCCCACCCCGCCTTGGAAAAGTTTCTATCCAATCCAGCTGTATAGACAAACTTCTGAGCTCAGGGCTGGGCAGGGACACAGATTATCTGAGGCTGTGGTGATTGGGGACACTTCAAAGGTCCCCAGGGAGGCCTCACCATAAGACTTCGGGGTTGTGGAAGGACAGTGGTAACAAATGACACAATAGGTCCAGAGTAGCTCGGGAGATGAAAGGAGGGTTTGGGGACTAACAAGGGTGTGGCCTCAAGTGTCACTAAGACAGTCAATCAACATATTGTCTTAATCAATCTGAACTATAACCAATCGATTATAAACTCTCCCCACCCCCTGCCCCAACACTTACCTCCTCAAGAAGACGAGTAACCGCATCTATGTCATTGTATGTTTTAGTCATCTGGCCAACTCTTTCAGCACATAAAACTGTAAGAAATAAAAATGACAATTAAATCACTGAAACCACAAACCTGTCAAACAAATGACCCATCTGAAAAAATGACAGTCCCCAACTATCCCACTGTAAAGGTGGGGGTTGTGTTACAAAAAGGGGGGGTAGTTAATCTTGCATTCCTGGAACAGAGGCCCCTAGGACCATCGCGAGGGAAGAACATGAGTGGAACGTGGAATCCTAACCAGAGAGGCAGCGACGCCAGAGACAGAAGCAGAGATGATGGCATGGAGAGGTGGAGCAGCTGAGGACTCTAGACTCATGGGAGAGGGGGGTACTGTGCCGGCAGGCAAGAGGCTGGCTTGCAAAATATGTCCTTTGGTTATTTAAATGATTATATATCCCTGCATGTTTTTATGTACACCAAGACAACAAAAACAAAGCAGGAATAGAGGCAAACACCGTTAAACGATGGCGCATGGAGGGGATTGTAATCATTGCAAGGAAACACAATATAACTGATTGAGTGCAAAACTGATGTTCTGTCATGTAAACAGTCACTCAATTCACAATAAAACCTCTATAATAAATTATTAATTTTAAAAAGGCAGTCCCAAGTGTCTACAGATTAGGCACAATGGACCACTGATTTTGCCAGGTGCAATCCACACTGCGCTTAAGAACCACTAATTTTCCTTTCCAGTAACCAGGAGGAGCCCCAAGTTTCTGAGGAAAGCAGGGTTTCTAATCCCTGTGAAGCCCCGGCACTGTGTACCTGTATATGTGTGTGTGTGTATTTAGAGGTGGTGCTGAGGGCAAGACACGGGAGAGGCGAGATTCTGGCCTCATATAAACTCATAAACTGTGTGGAGCAGGGTCAGCAGCACAGCTGCTAACTTGGGAATCGTCAGAAAAGGTCTGCAGGATTGAACCCTGACAGACCATAGAGACCCAACCACATAGACAGAAAGCAGCTATTGGTGTTGTTCAACCGTTGTAAACTGAGAAATTCAGAATGGCACAGAGCCCCACTCTACCCCCAATGGCCTCAATTCTAAGGCTATAAAACTAGTTTCTATCACATGAAAATTAGGATGATAGATATATTTTAATTCACATCAAAAAGGTAACTACGACAGTTACACAGACATGCACGCATGCATGCACGTAGCAATATTTCACTCCATGTGCAATGTACTCTAGTCACGGAGGCTGCTTTGAATGACTGTGTGGTCTTTGTTCTCCTTCTGCTGGAAGAAGGTGTTGTACAAGTAAAGAAGGCTTTCAGTTGGCAGGAAAGTCTCAGGAGTGTTTTATTTTAAATCAATGGGAGAAATAGATTGGCAGTTCAACACACACCAAGATGGCAGCATGGGTTGTATTCTATAGGAAAAGGAGTGAAATGTAAATGGATTTAGTGCAAACATGTAAAAATGATTTCAACCAGCCACATTTAGGCAAAATAATAAATTCTTAGAAATTCTTAGAGTCCTGGTGTGGCACTATAAGGCAAGCATTAGGCCATAAAGTCTGTTTGAACCGCAAGGTTGGCAGTTCAAATACAATTTGAAACTGTTTCTTCTCTAGTTGTGTATCAATCCGAGATTACATTTAAATTTTTAAAGCTGATCCTCAGAAACCCTAAACAGGGTCACCATGAGTTAGAACTGACTTGAGGGCACTTAACAACAACAACAAAAAAACAATTCTTGGTGGCTAAGTCTTCTCAGAAAAGGAGTCCTGGTGTGGCGCTGAAGGATAAGCACTGGACCTCAAGATCAGTTCAAACCCACCAATCACTCCTTGGACACTCAATACAGGGTCCCTCAGAATCGACTCAACAGAACTTAACAACAAGTCTTCTGAAAAACAGTCCTGTAAATGTGAAAGACTCAATTTAGCTCATGTAATGACCCACACTCAGTAACAGCCCATGCAGCGCACTTGGGAACTGAAGTGTAGGACCAAGTCAGACTCAGTATTTGGTCCTTACACCATTACTAACCGCACACTGCAACTGGAATTCAATAGGTGTCTGAATATTTTATTGAAAGCAAGTAGCGATCGTCCTGGAGAACGAGCTCATGGAAATCTGATCTGTTGGAATGATTTTCTAACTTAAGGAGGAGACCTGAAATCTGGTTCCAAATCTGAAACCCTCAGGCTACCAGAGAGCCAGCAGAAGGGACTGGTTTTGCCAGCCCCTCTAAACTGGATACTCTCGTCATAGGAGCCTTCCCACATGCACAGGAACTGTGAGCTGGCTAGGTTCAACTGATGCCTGAACTGCACTGCCATGGCAGGGAAAGGCAGGGAGATTTATATAGCATTCAGTTTAAACCAGAATCTAATTTGACGTAGATGGAGTGCAGCTCAAATTGGTCTAAATAGATAAGCGGCTCTTGATCACAAGAAATTGTGGGAGTGTCCGTAAGTGAAGGAGCCTATGCCGAGAGGTATTTGTTTTCATCCTATCACTGAGGAGTCCTGCAGAGGAAGGCACTCAGCCTCTCTTCAGTCAACATGCCTCAAGAATAGCATCAGCAGCCCCATTTCATAAACCAGGAAACAGTCCACAGGAGCCAATGAACAGCCTGCCTGCTAATGTTGACCTTACACTCCTTCAAGGACCAAGTCCTTTGATTTCCTTGGGGGTAAGGGGACTTAAAGAACCCCAAACTACATTTTAGCTACTGTGGCTCTTTTTTACCCTAAAACATAAGGGAATACACTTTGAGACTGTTATTTTTTTTCCTCTAGCACTGCATCAATCAAAGAGCTCTGGTAGCGTAGTGGTTACGAATCGGGCTCTCAAGGTCAGCAGCTTGAAACTACCAGCTGTCCCATGGGAGAAAGATAGGATTTCTGCTCCCGTAAAGAATTACAGCCTCGGAAACCTTTCACAGGGTTGCTATGAGTCGGCACCGACACCACAGTACATAACCAACCACCAACTGTATCAATGAGAGATTATATTTAAATTTTTAAAGATACTTTTGAAATTGAGAACTGTGGCTTTTCAGAGTTTATCATGTGTAGATAATTACAAGCAATTAGTGCTCCCATGGACCGTGTTGCCAGTGTCCTCCAATGGTTACATTCTGACAGTTGGTTCTGTACCACGTCATCACCTGTGCGGCACCTGTGTCCACCCCCACAAGGATTCCTCCTGCTGCCTTTTCTGTGAAGCCAGTTTTAAAATGCTTTAAAAATACTTTAACAATTGAGGCCAAACAAATGCACACCTGGGACAGGATTTTCGGGCCTCCACCTGTCTGGCACATAGCGCCACCATACACACTGTGCCGGGAAGGTAGTTGTTCTCTCTCAGGTCCCCAAAATGGGACAGCCACAGTTAGGGGAGCACAGAGGTGGAGGAACCTACCATAATCATGGGACTACTGACTGAGTCAGACACATAAATGAGACAGTTCTGTTTACTTCCAAGCCATGAAGTGTATGTGCTAATTTTCCACTGTGTTCTTTAAAAAAAAAGCCATACAACCCTAGTTTTAAAAGAGAATAAATGTTGTTTTAGTGCCATCGAGTCGGTTCCGACTTATAGTGACCCTGCATAGGTTTCTGAGGGGTGGGTGGTGAATTTGAACCGCTGACCTCGCAGTTCATTCAAATTGACCCTGCAGTCCAGTGCTTATCCTACCATGCCACACGAAGTCTCCAACAATAAATGTACAACAGGTAAAATATGAGGATAGTCACAAATTTAAAAACTGAAAAAATTTGTCATCCCATTCAATGTTAATATTTTTGCGACAACAGGTAAAATATTTGGATAGTCACAAAAATATTAACATAGGATGGATGACAAATTTTGATTTTTCATGAAGTTTTTTTTGTTTGTTTTCTTTTAATATCTATAGAAAGAGTGCACTAATGGAAAAAACTTGCTTATTTAAAAAAAAACATACAGCTGTCTACACAACAGCATTCAGGGATCCTCCTCAGCTTAGATGTAAGCGAAATTAATAATACAGGCAGCAGGACTTTACTGAGCACTGACTATGGCCAGGAACTGCTGAGCATCTATATACATTGTTTCATTTAACCCTTAGAGCAAAACTGTGTGGTAGCCACTTATAGCAACCTGTTATCATAAATGGGAAAGGAAGGCCGACAAAGGGTAGACAACTGGTCTAATGTTACACAACTAACAAGTGGTGAATTTCAAATTGAGAACAGACTCCCAGCAGAGGCAACAGCTAACACCTGCTACTTCAAGGTTTTAATACGTTTTCCGAATTGAATCCTTGCAACAACTTAGAGGGTTGTTGTTGTTGTTAGCACTGCCAAGTCAGTTCCACCTCACAGCAACCCTGTGTAGGGTTTGACTGAGAGTAGGCATGTTATAAGGGTGACCCACAAATGAGAACCCTAAGGCCTGAAAAGTTGAGGACTGGACTACGGTGTCGGCCAAGTGAGCTTGTATGGCAGAATGAGCCCAGATCAGTCTGGCTCCTGTACTAATGTAGGGAGCAGTCACCCTACATCAGCAGTGGTGAAAAGGAAGAAACAACCACGTTTAGGACATGCTAGGGGTAGGAAACGTGTGATATGGGGGAAAGCAGGGGCCCTTAGCCCGGCAGATCTAACACACCTCATGTAACGAAACGGATACACAGCACACCATCTCCTATCACTGTGCGTCACTGAGCCCCAACAGGCCACAAGAGCAAAGGTAGACCCAGGGGGACATGCTCCTGCCACAGGGTCTGCGGCCTTTGCAAATCCCTTTAATAAGCTTGGACTTTCATCCTGGGGCTTGTAAAAGGGGAGCATTCACATGAGATTTGCATTTTGGAAAGCTTTCTGGCTATGCTGGTATTAGCTGTCATGGAGCTAAGCCCTGACCCAGTGGAGCAAAACCTGTCCGTGTCCTGTGTCAGATGCCCATGGTCAGCTGCAGACCGGACCATTGAGATCCACACAGGATTTTTAGCTTCTTTTCACCAGGTAGATCACCAGGACTTTACTTCTAGGATGCCTTTGTCTGAAACCTGGTCAGCATGATACCAAC